TTAGTTGACCATCTTCTTGGTCAGCTGGCTTTCCAAATAAAGTCACCATTACTTGCCCCAAAACCTGGTCTCCCAATTTACTGGCCTGTCATGCAGTGAAAAGAATGAGTTTGGACTCAGTAACACAAACATACATTGAATGTATCCATTTGGTGTATTTAATGACTTGCTTCCACTGGTCTTTATCTCTGACTTTTCCTTCTCTTGCCCACTCCTGCTATGTTTATGAAAAGTCTGTCAGTCTGCTCATGTGGACACATTTCCATCTATAGCCACTGCCCTTCCAGGTAAGAACAGATGCCAAGAGGCAATGGAAGCTACTAAGAGGCATTACCTGGTCAGAAAGGAGCAGAAGTGGGTACTGGCTGAGGCTCAGGAGCAGGCTGGGACACCTGACAAGATGTCTTAAGCAGGGACAGACAGCTGGGCACCAAAGGAGAAGCTTCTAAGCCCCCATGAGGGACTTGCTGGATAGGATGGAAAACTTCCAGACTGTAGATCTGACCCCACCATTAGCTTCCTGGGCAAGGCTGGGCAAGTCATTTAAGTTCTCTAGGCCCATGCTGTCCTCCTTTGGGAGCCATCAGTCACGTGCAGAATAATGAAGTTACTCTGTACTCAGGAAGAACTATAAATAAAAATTTTACTGCACAGGCTCAGCATGTATGATGTTTAGAAACATTAGTGGTTTTCTTGCCCTAACGAATTATTTTTGTATGTCTGACTTTTTGTGGTTTGTAATGCCTGTGACTAATGATTTCCTTATAGTGAGGTATTTTGAAATTATAAGTTACTGGACACAGTACCCTCATATCATAGTTGAAAAAAATTGATCCACATAAGCAAGGTGATCTGATTTGGTAGTTAAAGCAGGGGCTCTTGGGCCAGCCTGCCTGAGTATGAATTCTCACTCTGCCTCTGAGGGTTTCTGTGTGAATTGTGGACAAATTCTTCTTTTTTTCTTAACTGATTTGTGCCTTTTTCCTTACCTTTTAAATACTGAGGAATATGTAGACTCTACCTCCTACTGTGCTGGCAGGATTAAATGAGTTAACATATGTGCCGCCCACTCCCCTGAGTTTAAGCATTCTCCAGGCAATCAGTTCCAAACTCGGAGGCATTCTCCACTGCCTTAGTCTGTCTGGGATGCTGTAACAAGTTACCATGGGTCAGGCAGCTTAAACAACCAGCATACTCCTCAAGTTTTGGAGGCTGAGATATTCAAGATGAAGGTATCTGGGAGATGACTGGCTTCATGGCTTGAAAATGGCCATCTTCCCACTATCTTCATGGGTCTGAGAGCAGAGAGTGGCAAGTTCTCTGGGGCCCCTTATAAAGGCGCTTATCCCATTCATGAGGGCTCTACTCTCATGACCTCATTTTATCCTACTAATCACCACCCAATACCATCACACTGGGAGATCCAGTTTCAACATATGGATTTCGAGGGGACCCATTCAGTCCACACATCGGCTAACTTTCCCCAACTTGCTGTCATCAAACCTATACTAACTCCTTCAAAGAAACGCTTATATCTCTCTGCCCTTTTCCATTCCTACATCCACTACCACTGAAGCCCTGTGACATTTTACTCCTTATTTTCCTGGTAGAGGTTTCATTGATTTCTCTACTCCAATGCGCTCCTCATTCCAGTCTGCTGCATAATTCTCCCTAAAACTTGGCTTGAGGATACGATCTTCCCACTTCACCTCATTTTTTTAGGTGTAAATGTCAGAATCCCCTTCACATCCTATCTCAGACCTTTAATCCCTTACACACCCCCTCCCTATGTTACTTTTCTATTACTATTATAACAAATATCCACAAACTTAATGGCTTAAACCAGCAAGGATTTATCACCTTACAGCTGTGCAGGTCAGGGGTCCAACACAGTTCTCACTGGGATGATTCAAGGTACCAGCAGGGTGCCTGCCTTCTGGAGGGTCTAGAAGAGAGTGTTTACTTGTCTTTTTCCAGTTTCCAGAGGTCACCCAACTTCCTTAGCTTGTGCCCCATGACTTCCTCCATATTCATGGCCAGCAGCCTTTCTGAACTTTGCTCCATGGCTACACCTCCCTCTGACCCTAAGCTCAACTGGGAAATGTCCTCTGCTTTTAAGGACCCTGTGATTACACTGGGCCCACCTGAAAAATCCAGGCTACTCTCCCTATTGTCTCATCTCAGGATCCCCTTGTCCCATCCCACTCAGGCATTATGTATGTGGCTGTGACACTCACATTGGGTAACGTTTCCTCTCACAAGCAATTTAAGGTTCAAAACACGTATGAATGGCTTTTTTTTCTTCCTTAGTCTTTCCACATTCAGTACATCTGGTGATATTATATGACTCCTGTTTATTTATGGCCCAGCACTAATTTTTAATAATGTATCATGGGTCTCAAAGGCTAACTAGTAGACAATTAAGAAGACAGAAGTCCTCTAAGATTTTTGTCCTAAAATATGTGTCATCCCTTTGGCCATGTACAGTAACATGTCACAGGTGGCTACCCTGCGGGGGGGCACTTTATTCTGCCACCACACTCCTGTCATTCGCACCAACGTGATCTCCTAACTGAGGATCTATTCTCCCAGCTTTGCTCACTTCCTCCTCCTTTCCATTCACCATCCTGTTCCCACCACTTCCTTTGTTTACCACATCAGGATTTCATGGCCACATTCTTCTCTAAATGGAATGGATATTGTGCATCTAACATGTGATAACTGTTCTTATTTTATACGCACACACTCACCTACACATAACCCCATCCATCTCTATTTTCCTAGACTCTTCCAGAGTAATCAGTTCCATGATGCTGATGATACTGACAGTGATGACAGGGGCCTCTCAAGGACTCTGATAATGAGGGAATCAATAGAGAGGGAATCAATAAAGAGAAGGAATCATTGCAAAACTGCCACAGAAACAGGCTTAGAGGTAAATAACTGCTATAGTGTTTAAAGAAATCGACTAATATTTAATTACTTTTAAACTTTTATATCACTGTATTTAAATTTTTAAGGGGAATTTTCATTCACCACTGACCAAAATTTGACTTTAGGACCAAAATATAAGAGAATTTCTATCTTCTAACAAATTGCCCACTGGCCTTTTAAACACGTGATTCTTTAAAAACGATTAGTGCTGGTGTGAAAATAAACAGGATTCATATAATCTCGCCAGACACAATGAATGTGGAAAGACTAAGGAAGAAAAACAAAAAGCCATTCATAACGTCTTGAACTTTACGTTGCTCACAGGAGAAAATGTTAGCCAAGGTGAGTGTCACATCAACATGGCACCTGAGTGGGGTGGGAAGCTGATCTTCCTCACCAGACATTTATGCTGATTTGCTAGATGCCAACAGTTTCCTCATTGGATTTGCTTCTAATAAGTATGGGGCAGTTTAGGCTCTACCAAAAGCAGACTAAACATTTTCCTCTGCTGTCAGGTCTCTGGACTGAATGTCCCCCCAGGAAGGACATGATTATATTTCATATGAAAAATCTTCCTGAGAAACAACAAACTTTTAGAGGGCAGAACTGCAGGTCCCCTGTGGAGGGCAGGAGGAGGGCTAGAGGGGACACTGGAAATACAGCAGGAGTGAGTTCAGATACTGCTGCTCAAGTCGCCAAAGACAGCATTGCTATCTCTAAGGATACGACATTCTCCCAAAAATTCCTTGAGTGAAGAGGTGTGTGAACACTAAGCAGGTTGTAAGACACAGCAGCACATAATTAGCATAAGTCAATTACAGTTTTTTTGATATTTGGAAAAC